CCCAAGGGAGGGGTGTGCAGCGGGGTGCGGGTGCCTGTGCAGCCACAGGGACCTAGCGGGTGAGCTCTTGGGGTGTCCCTGTCCCTGTGGTTGAGCTCTCGGGGTGCCTGTGCACCCTCTAGGCAAGGTCTCAGGGTGCTTGTGCCCCTGTGGGCTAACTCTTAGGAAGCCTGTGCAGCTGTACACCTGAGGGATGAGCTCTTGGGGTGCCTGGGTCCCCGTGGGTGAGCTCTCGGGGTCTCCTCTCACAGGCGGCACTGGGCTGCCGGGCAGCACAAGTGCTGATGCAGTACTGCATCCTGGCCAACCACTACTGGTTCCTGGTGGAAGCCGTCTACCTCTACAAGCTGCTGATTGGGGCCGTCTTCTCCGCGAAGAATTACTACAGCTCTACCTTTACCTGGGCTGGGGTAGGGGCCACCCGGCCGGGGTCCTTACCCTGTGTCTGCAAGCACCATCTGGGTCTGGGGCCCTGGGAGGGTGTGGGATGGGGGTTCTGCTAACCCTGGGTATCCCCACGGTGTTCCCCCTCCAACCCTGGTTTCTCAGCTCAGGCGGGTGCTTGGTTTTACAGGGTTTGCTGTGTGACTTGCAGGGACGCCTGTGGTGTTTGTGGTGCCCTGGATGGCCGCCAAGTACCTGAAGGAGAATGCGGAGTGAGTGGGAAGGGGTGTGTTTGGGGCGTTCCCCAGAGTTTGGCCTTGGCTGGGGAGCGGGACAGAAACTGCTGTATGTCCCTGACCCACTTTGCTGTGGCTCGCACGCTCTTGGCCTTACCCTGCACCCCCCGTGACGGTGCTGCTCCTCATGTCTCCCTGGGCAGGTGCTGGGCACTGAACGAGAACATGGCTTACTGGTGGATCCACCCACGAGCCCCACACCTTTTTGGAAAACAGCAGCTCGGCCCCTGGCTCCAGGGGTGGTGGCTAGTGACCTCCAGGGCAGCTCCCAGCAGAGCACCCGGGGCTGGCATTGGCTTCTAAGGCACAACACTAAATGCGCGTGGGGTGATTTTTCTTGCACCAGCTCGCCAACCCCCGGGCTCCAGAGGTCCTGGGAGGAGGGGGCTGTGCTGAGCCCCAGAAAAGGGGGCTGGTGATGGCCCCTAGCTGGGATTTTGGGATGGTGGGAGGGGAGGAACAGCAAGTCTGGGCACCCAGCAGCCTTGGCAACACAGAGATGTGTCACATCCTGCACCCCCCGAAGGTGCATGTTACGGCCAGCGTGGGCTGCGAGGGGTAGGGTGCTGGGCTGTGTGTACCCCTGCACTGTCTTCCCCCCTGCACCAGATCAACCTGCTGATATTCATGCGGATCCTCAAGGTGATCCTGGCCAAGCTCCGTGCCAACCAGAAGGGCTATGCGGACTACAAGCTGCGGTGAGACAGGAGGGAGGGACGGGGCAGGCTCTCC